ATGCTTTCAGCTTTCTCAAGGCTTCGACACATTCCTCGTTCCACTGTAGTCCTTGATCTTTTTTCAGCACGTTGAAAAATTTATGGCACCTATCGGATGACCGCGAGATGAATCTGGACAGGGCGGCTATACGCCCCGTTAGCTTCTGTACCTATTTCTTGCTACTCAGCACCTCAGGTATTGCGTCTATCGCCTTGATCTGATCTGGGTTGACCTCGATGCCTCATTGCGATACGAGGAATCCCAAGAATTTTTTTCCTGAGGCTACACCGAAAGCACATTTCTCGGGGTTCAACTTCATCCCGTACCTCCTCAGTATTTCGAAGGCCTCTTTTAGGTGGTCGACATGGTCCTCTTTCTTTGTCGATTTTACCAGCATATCGTCGATGTAGACTTCCATGGTCTTACCGAGTTGTTCTTTGAACATTCTGGTGACCAGCCTTTGGTACGTGGCTCCTGCATTCTTGAGCCCGAAGGGCATTACCTTGTAGCAGTATGTCCCCTGGTGGGTGATGAAAGTTGTTTTTTCCTGGTCCTCTTCGGCCATCATGATTTGGTTGTAGCCGGAGTATGCGTCTAGGAAACTTAGCAGCTCATGCCCCGCGGTCGCGTCTATTAGCTGGTCAATGTGGGCAGTGGGAAGGAATCTTTTGGGCACGCCTTGTTCAAGTCGGTGAAGTCTACACACATTCTCCACTTCCCATTCTTCTTTTTAACCATGACGACATTGGCGACCCATTGGGGGTACTTTGATTCCCTGATGGAGCCGTTGGCCAGAAGTTTGTCCGCTTCCTCGCCGACCGCTTCGTTGATTGCGGCGTTGAATTCCTTCTCATTTGCCGCACGGGCGGGTGTAGCGGGTCGACGTTCAGCTTGTGAGTGGCGATTTCTCGCGGGATCCCCGGCATATCTGAATGGGAAAAAGAAAATAGGTCTGCATGGTTAGATAAAAATTCACGATACTTACTTGGATTTGAGAGGCCGTGCCCGATGTAAGCTTTCTTTGTAGGGTCGTTGTTTGTCTAGTTGGACTGGGTCGAGATCTTCGACCGTAGCCTTACAGGCTTCTATGACATCAGGGTCTTTAATGGCGTTCTCTGTCGGGTAAACCTTAGTCCCCGACATAGCTGATTGCTATGCGTCTGCGCTTGCCCCTTTAAGCTGTTTGGTGTGGGCGCAGTCTTGAGCTATTTTATAGCATTCTTGAGCGGTGCGAGGATCGCCTCGAATGCTGAATATTCCCCACAGGGTGGGAAATTTGATCATTTGGTAAAAGCTCGACGGGACCGCTCTTATGGCATGTATCCACGGTCGTCCGATGATGGCGTTGTATGCCGTTTCCTGGTTCATCACGTGGAAAGTTGTTTCCAGCGTGACCCCTCCCGCTAGGACGGGTAGTGATATCTCCCCAGAGGTTCGTTCTACTGCATTATTGAAACCAGTTAGTGTTATGCAGCGCGGTATTATCCTATCCTCGAGTCCCATTAGTACGAGGACCCTCGGGTGGATAATACAGGCGCCACTACCGTCATCGACCATAATTCTTTTAACATCTGTATCTGCGATACGTAAGGTGATAACTAAAGCATCGTAATGAGGGAAAGACAAACCGTCGGCATCGGACTTATCGAAGGTGATACTATCTTCGAAGTCGTCATACCGTTCGTGGGCGATAGTTCGCTTCAGCTTGTGCGTAGTGGTGAACTTGACGTGGTTGATCGCCGAGTCATCGCCGTTTCCAATGATCATGTTGATCGTGCGTGTTGGTGAGGGCGGCTTTGGTGGCCCGTGGTGCTGCTCCCGTCCACGTGCAAAGTTGATTTTTCCTTTGTCACTGAGCAACTCTCTCAGGAACCCTTGGTTCAGCATCCTGACCACCTCTTGCCGTAGACCTATACAATCTTCGGTTTTTTTGCCCTCCTTCCTGGTGGAACTCGCACAAGGCGTTTGATTTTCTGGTGACGGGGTCCGACTTCATCTTTGCCGGCCATTGCACCTTGTTGCCCAGCTTCTCAAGTGCGTACACTATCTCTGAAGGGGACATACAAAAATTACGGGCAGATAATAAAGGGGGCATACCTCTGTCGTTTCATAGTGGAGCGACGTGTTGCTGTAGTGCGTCCGCGTGCCTGGGTGGCGGTGGGTGAGAGGATCTGATGTAGGGTTGGTGTCTCTCCCTATTGGGACGTGGGACCTATTCCCGTCGTCCTTCATTGCGTCGATCCCTTCTGATTTCTGGATGTATTGTTGTTAGACGTTGGGTCGGCCCGTTGAGGTCGTCCTCATCTGCACGTACCTCAGCGTAATAGGCGTTGTGAATCTCTTCCCACGTGGTGGGCGGGTACTTCATGAGGCGACTAAGTAGTTTTTTGGTTGCCCTTGAGCCGTCCCTGCTTAACCCGTTTTGGAAAGCAACTACCGCCATGCCTTCCGGCACGTTCGGTAGGCTCATCCTTACCCTGTTAAACCTAGCTAGGAAGTCCCTAAGTCCTTCCCCTACGGTTTGCCGAACAGCGAAGATGTCGTTGACCCTTGCTTCTGCTTTCTTTACTCCTGCATGGGCGGTGACAAACTTGTCCGCCATCTCCTCGAACGTGGAAATGATTTTGGCCGGTAGCTGGGAATACCAGGTCAGTGCTCCTCCTGTCAGTGTTTCGCCGAACTTCTTCAGCAGCACAGACGGTACCTGTTCTTTTGATAGGTCGTTACCTTTTACAGCAGTGACGTAGTGGATCAAGTGGTCCTCGGGGTCTGTAGTTCCGTCGTACACTCTCAAAATAAGGCGGCATTTTGAATGTTTTTGGAATGGAGTACGGTGCAGCCTCTTCCGTGTAGGGTTGTTCAACAAACCTCCCCACGTCACGCTTTGGCAGCAGTTTGGGGGCACCAGGGATTTTGTCCACCCTCTCCTGATGTTCCTTCATCTGGTCACGGAGTGACCTATTTTCGTTTTTCATTTCCTCCATCTTCTTGAGGATGGCTGTGAGCGTGCCACCGTTGGCCCGAGTGTCGAGGAGCGCGTTGTTTGCTCGTGCGATCTCGGGTTCACCTTCGACTGCAGCAAGATCTGCGGTCGGCCTGCATCTGACATTGTTTTGAGGTGACTTCTCAACCAAGCCGCTTAGAGTGCTCGTCAACCACTCTTCCAGTAGTTTCCTGACCTCCGGGGGTGCTTCTTCAGAAGCGGATGTAGAAGCGCCTTTTTCCCGCAAGATCGTTAGATCTTCGGGTGCTGGAGGTGGGATTTCTCCGCTTGTGGTGGTGCTAGGGGTTGCAATCAAAACCCCATCTTCACCGGCTTCATTGAGAGGACCGATGAGATTGGTTGCAACATCTGCTATTGTTTTCATTCTTGCGTTGTTGTCAGCCATTTTTCGTTTTTGTGTTGTAAAGAAAGGTTTTCGATGGTTCTCTAGGTGCAAACTATGGTTTTGATTCTCGAAATCCCCACAGACGGCGCCAAATTGTTTAGCTCAAAAATTATATTCGTATTTTATAAGCTTAAAAACAATCGAAAATATATAGGGGTAAATCGTAATCAAATATAATAAGCCCAAGAGATGATTATTGCTTCAAGAATGTTTGTAGATCTGTAAGTGCGTAGTGAAATAGACTTAGCTTAAGAGGGAAGCAATGGTTGGAAAATCAAGAAAGAGATAAGAGATAGAGATAGAGAGAGAAATTGTATTATCCGAGAATAACAATGATGCCTATTACAATGTGGAGGTCTCCTTTATATAGTAGGAGACCTCCCTCGAAATAATCAAAAAGGTACAAAAGTTGGTGACTTCTACTCAGTAAAAAGGTCAGGCACTAAACGACGTCACTTCTTCTTCACCAACTTGGGCTGTGCCCTCACTCGGGTCGCCCTTATTATAAGGGACGTGCCCATTTGGCGTGGGGGCGTTATGAGCCAAATTTAACCCTATACAAAAACAATTACTATTTGTTTTGCTATTTAAAACATGCATTTATCTTAAATATTAGTAAAAAGTACTCCCTCCGTTTCAATCGGTGTGATAATTTTTTTATTAATCAACTCTAAGAAGAATGATACTCCCTCATTTTTAATTCATGTGAACTCAATTGTGCCACGGTTAAGAAAAGAGAAAAGACTTTTAAACTTATGATATAAAATGAGACACATATATATAATTTGTGTGGATATAAATCATTGCATAAAGGTAAATTATTTTCAAATAAGAAAAGAGGTCATTCTTTTTTGCACATACTAAAAAGAAAATATGTTCACAGAGGGAATATATTTTTGTATTTGAAAATAATTTAATTTTATACTTTTTATTTTATGCTTAATGAGAAGTTCTTGTAGCCACATAAATTGAAATTTCCACAATAGCTTTTATCGTTTAGAATTTAAAACTATACTAATATTTTCTCTTAAATTTCATGCCAAATCAAATTAGATTGCATAAATTAAAGCAGATATAGTAATTTTTTTCCTAGACAAACATAACCATAAAGTGGAAGTGACACACGAGCAGGTCTTTGCTGGCTTCTCACCTGTCAGAAATCCAACGTTGGATTCACATCTAGACCACTGTTTTTGGTAACTAAATAGTAAACCCCTCAGAGTGGACCCATTTGACCTTCCAGTATATATAGCTACTACTAATCACATTTTTGTTCTACATTGCTTCACTGAATCAATAATAACTGAGGCTCCATATATAATCTTTTTGTCTGCTTTTCGATTTGTTCAACGAGTCAATACGTGGAAAAGATTAGTGGACTCACTGTAAGTAAGCTGTTAATTTTCTAATTAATTCATTTCCATTTCTTTTTTATTCTTATTTTGCATGGTATGCGTGAACTCATTGAATTAATTACCATCTGTGTACCTTTTTTTGGGATCCCATTCCATAGGTCCAGAGAGTCTGGAGCTCTTATATTTATGCTCAAAAGTCCTTTTTTAACTCTAGAGTATGTGAATTATCAGATTTTTTATTTTTTTAAAAAGGTGGTGTCTTTTTTATCTGTATATGACTTTTGGTACAAGATCTCAGTATAGCAGTGGAAAAAAAGGAGAAAAAGATGAGTTTTGTGGTGAGTCAACTTGTTTCATCCTCTAGCTTTTTTGTTGGTTTGTGTATGTAGATACTCAAAGTTATCCATCACGATGTGATGAGGTGATTAAAACTCTTCTATCTTTAATTAGAAATACAGTTTTAAGTTTGAGAGTATACACTTTTTGATAAAACCTGTTTCATCTCTTAACGAACCTATCTAAATTTAATAAAAGAAACATTTTATCCTTTAACCAACTTATCTGAATCTAAATTAATCGAGTCAATAGATTTGAATACCTAGATAGTGCAAAGTCCACATGTTCATTGTTTTCTACATCTTTTTGGCTATTAACTTTCGTTTCCATTTGGCTTTACTTTTCCTCTGCCCGTATTAGACCCTATGGCTTTCCTAATTTCTTGGACTACTTCACCATCCGTGATAGCTATGAAAATTGGTCAACACCCACATCTCTTTCCTGGCTTTCTGATCTGGCGTTTGCTTCAAAAGTTGGTGAGGAAATTCTTTTTTCAGTTTTAGAAAAATTGGAAACCTTATCAAATAAATAAATAAATTTATTCAACAAAATGTCATCAAATTTGGTTTCACTTTAAAAAATGAAAAGATTTTCACGTTTTACGGTTTTTACGAAAAAATGAAAACTTTTTTCTAACACCTTCAGGTTGAAAAAAGCTTAAAATCTTTTATATTCTCTCCGTCCCATTTTATGTGACTTGAGCCGAGTACGAGGGTCAAACTAACTACTAACTTTTTCTTTATGAATTTGGATGTAAAAGTTTTAATTTTTTAAAAATAAAACTTAGTACATATTTAAAAACTATAAAAACAAAGTTAGTCACAACAAAAAGAAAAAAAAATATTTACAAGTCACAATAGTTAACGACCGAAAAAAAATTGTTATACTCTCCAAGTAATAACTGGTCACCTAAAGTGGACAGGAGGGATTGCCATATTACTAGAATTAGGACCTCAACATTACAATATAATTCTCTCTTTATATTCTCTGGATATATGTCTTTGCTTGTAAATTTAGTTGGCAAAAATTATGGAAAAACCAGAATTAAGTCTCAAAAGATTGCTTCTCATCTGTTCATAACTTGATGGACAGAATTAGGCAATACAACCATTATACCAAAAATGTTACTGCTTCTTACTGTTTCTAATATATTCAGTTGAATTGGTGCAGAAACCAAAGATGGAAAGTCACAGTGACATGAGTGAGAAAGGTGAAAGTTCGAATAATGTGGTAATGGGTAGGCCTAAAGAGGAGGATGAAAGTGAGAGCAGGTTCAATGGTGACAACTTCTTAAATGGCGTTGCTTCTGAAGATGAACCGGACTCTGTTCTCAGTAATTCATCAAGGAAAAGGAAATACAGCAGGCATACTGCAAACCAAATTCTAGAGCTCGAAACGTGTGTATCATTTCAATTTCTTTTTTACTTGTTAGTTTTGTTTATATTAGTTCCAATTTTTGTTCATTTGTCTGTCACAGTGCTTTCAAGGAGAATCCACATCCTAACGAAAAAGTAAGACTAGAACTTGGAAAGAAACTGTCTATGGACAGCAAGCAGGTGAAGTTTTGGTTCCAGAATAGAAGAACCCAAATGAAGGTAATGGTGTTATATGCCTTCTTTACTTAAGTGCCTTGTGTGAAATATGTTTGGTTTAATAATGGGATTGAATTATGCGCTGTCGAATCAGTCACAATTGGAACGCCATGAAAATGGAATGCTGAAACAAGAAAATGATAGGCTCCGCATAGAGCATATTGCAATGCAGGAAGCCATGAAACATCCAATTTGCAATCGTTGTCGTAGTCAGGCTATTATTGCTGACATCAATGTTGAGGAGCATCAAACAAAGATTGAGCATGAACGGCTGAAAGAGGAAGTCAAGAGGATCAGTGTCCTGGCCGACAAACTTTTGGGGCCTTTATCATCCTTGGAAGGATCAATGGCTTCCGTTATAGCAAATCCTGCATTTGGACTTCCTGAGGGAATAAATGGCTTCGGTGGTATAAATTATGCTAACGCTGCATCGCCAATGGGGCTTGATTTCGAAAATGGTCTGTCAAGTACTCCGCCAGTAATTATTTCCACAAGCTTGGCTAATGTAGATGTATCATATGATAAGTCAATGCTGATGGATCTTGCTTTGGCTGCGATGAACGAGCTGCTTGGGCTAGCTGAGATTGGTGAACCGCTTTGGGTTAGAAGCTTGGATGGAGGTGGAGAAACATTGAATCTTGAGGAGTATGCTAGATCATTTACACCATGTACGGGCATGAAACCTGGACATTTCGCAACAGAAGCAACTCGCGCGACTGGTACAGTGATTGTCAACAGCTTAACTCTGGTGGAGACATTAATGGACATGGTAGGTTCTTCGTCCTGAATTCAGTTAAAACCTTCATCCCGTTTACTACTTGTTGGGGCGGTGAATAATTGTTCTTTCGTTTTTGCTTTGATGTTTAGTTCTATTCTTACCTTTACTGTGTTTGACATATTATTTCTTTCCTTTTTGTTTTCGTGGTGCTGCAATTAGTGACTGCATGTTTTTTGAATCAATTAAGTCAAGAAAACAAGTTAGGTGTTGGCCAGTTATTTCTTATTTCTTCCTATATATGTAATGTGCTTTTATATATGCAGAGTCGATGGGTGGAGATGTTCTCATGCATTGTCGGGAAAACCTCTGTTGTCAATGTGATTCCAGGTAGCACATGTGGAAGCTGGAGCAGTAATCTGCAATTGGTAATTCGTTTTTCTTACAAATTTTCCGGAAGTCACATATCTTTTTTTGTTCTATTTTTTTTTTTTTTTTTGCATGAGGTAAGAGCTTGAAAGTATATATTGACTTTGCAGATTCAAACTGAATTCCAAATTATTTCTGATCTGGTTCCTGCTCGTGAAATGAAATTTCTCCGCTTCTGCAAGCAACACGCTGAAGGTGTCTGGGCTGTTGTGGATGTGTCTGTTGACACAATCCAAGAAAGTTCACAACCTCGTGAAATTGGGAATTGCAGGAAGCTCCCTTCTGGTTGTATTGTGCAAGATATGCCTAATGGTTACTCTAAGGTAATTCAAAGTTGTACTCCGAGAACCTGAACAAATGCTTGTGATGGTACAGATGCTTTTTACTCTAAGATGCTTGTGATCCGACCCCTTGCTTAGGTTGTGTTTGCTATGCATTAGTCTTCGTGACCTGGATATACAAATGTTTTTTTGTCTATCACATAATCTGGCTTATACTTTATTTTATCAAAAATGAATGACATCCTTTGGCTTTTATGAAATCAGCTATTTTTGTTAAGCTTGGCTTCCAAGTTCTGTTGAGATTGAGTCCTAGATTTGGCAGCTGAGATGTCTCCAACAATGGGCGTTTTACTTTTATGATGATTATGTCAATATTTCATGCATGCTCATACTTTTCTATCTAGTGATTTTATCAAAAGGGCCTGTAAAATTGATAGTATAATATTTTCAGGTTACTTGGATTGAGCACATGGAATATTATGAAAATGTAGTCCACCATTTGTATCGCCCTCTGGTCAGGAATGGCCTGGGGTTTGGCGCACAAAGGTGGATGGCCACTCTGCAAAGGCAGTCTGAGTTCGTGGCGATGCTGATGTCTTCTGTTGACACCCCAGGTGATCATCATTGTGCCATTTTCTTTGACACTTTGGAATTTAACTTATAAAAAACAAACCGGTGGGTTCTGATGAAGTTCCATGTGCGGCAGTTGTTTGTTCAAGTGGTCAGACAAGTATGGCAATGCTGGCTCAGCGCATGACACGCAACTTTTGTGCTGGGGTTTGTGCAACCATTCACAAGTGGGAATCAATCCAACAAGCAAATGGAGAAGATGCAAAATTGATGATGAGGAAGAACATTGGTGACCCTGGTGAGCCTATTGGTGTGGTGTTGAGTGCTACAAAGACCATCTGGTTGCCGGTGAAACAACAACGTTTGTTAGACTTCCTGTTGAATGAACAAACAAGGACTCAATGGGATATTTTGTTCAAAAGTGGTCCTATGCAACAGATGGTCCATATTGCCAAGGGTCAAAATATTGACAATAGCATCTCTCTTTTCCGTGCTAATGTGAGTGATTTTGGAAACATGACGAAATTAAAAAGTTCTAATTGCTGTGTTCTAAATAAGATTTTTTTTGGCTTGGATTTGCAGGGGGATGCAATCAGTGACAGTGAAAACAACATGCTGATTTTGCAAGATACTTGCACGGACGCAACAGGATCCCTTATAGTATATGCAACAATTGATGCTGCAGATATGGATGTGGTGATGAATGGAGGAGATTCTTCTTCAGTGGCTTTCCTACCATCTGGAATTGCGATAGTTCCTGACTGTTTTCAAGATTATACCGGGGCCAATAACTGCGATATTGGAACTTCTTGGGAGAAAGATAATGGCTTTAGCGGTACTGGATCTCTAGTGACTATCGGGTTCCAAGTATTGGTGAATAGCTCGCCTGCTGAAAAGTTATCTATGGAGTCAGTCCAAAAAGTAAATAACCTCATCTCTCATACAATTCATGGTATCAAAGCTGCTTTCAAGAGCAAGTGATACTCCAAGACTAATTGCTATCTGTTGGTTCATTACTTTTTTTGTTTGTTTTGAGTCTTTGCTTCTTTTTCTTTTTTTTTTTTTTTTGGGGGGGGGGGGGGGGGGGTGTTTTAATATCAAACTTTATGTGTGTCAAATACATCAAAAATAAGTCAGTGCATGTTATGAGCTATATGTATGGTTATAGAAAAGGTTTTGGAGTCAAGAACGAACCGAGCTAGCTCTCTCTAGCTATATAGTATGTGTTTCTGTCGGAAGATGAGACAATGGTGTTGTTTCTTGTTCGAGCCCTGAGTAATGTCTGTTGTCATTTCAGTGTTAATGGTAATATGATATTGTGTCTTACTGTTTTGAGTTTACCTAAATCTTCTCCTTTTTCAGTCTACTGATCGTTTGATTTTTGTTATATTATATATGACTGGTACGTCTTATTCTCCAGCCAATTTCATAGTAGAACGACTGGAAGTTATAGCAAAGGTCTGAATCACACTTTTTGGTGGTAAATCAATAAATCATACCATTTGAGAATGATGTTTTGAGAATATGAGTGGTGATAGTTTTCGAGGTTGACACTTGACATTATGAATACTGAAAACAATTTAAAGCTAACAAGAGTTAAAATGGTTGTAAAAAAAGGAAAATAACTTATGAAATTTCAGTAGCTTAAACCTTTTCATTACAGAAATTCTCGAGGAAGGTGACATATTTCCAACTGTAGCTCATATACTAATCATAATTTGAACTTAATTAATTATCATACTGGTATTTATCATTTTGTGCGATTCTGCTCGATCGAGTTGGTTAAATAGGATCTGAAATTACGCGCTAAAATATGAAAAGTTTCTTGCTCATACCAGATCAAATCATAAGAAAATTGTCTCTATAAGAAAATTGTTTTAAATCTAATTTTGTAACTGAACAAACTATAAATAAGTAAACAAAATAATATTGAGTTAGATGGGGAAACTCATTGCAAATCCAAATTGACCTAACTCAATTTGATCCAAGTAAACATGAATCGTCAGTAGAAGATGTGAGGGTTTAGGTGATTCTTCTTTAAAATTGGAAATAATTATACATAGATATGTGCAAAGAAACAGTTGGGATCTCTTGCAAGTTTATGTGATATTACGCTCAAATGGAATCTCTTGTTTTTTATGCAATGGGGACTACATTGGTACATAAATCTCATAATTACGAGTGTCTGTGTTGAGAAAGGGGTAACTTGAGTGTAAATTAGAAAGGGCAGATTAATCATTTCACATCTGTTAATTAACGAAAATTAGGATTCCATAAGTTATTTAATTACCTAACTATATATTATAAATATCTCATTTTGAGAACACACGAAATAATTCATTGTCATTTCCTTCTGAACATTTCTTCTCTCTAAACTCTTTCTAGTTCATCTCTCATTCTTCTTCCTCTTCTCTAGGATTCATACCTTGTTAATTCTCAATTAATCTCATGGTATCAGAGCTAGGTTGTGATTGTCCAAAATTTAAGGATTTTGTTGTTTATTTCAGAAACTAAAGTTGTATCAGTTTTTAATGGGACTTAATGACTCATATGCTCAGGCTAGAAGTCAGATTTTAATGAGAAGCCCTGTACCCACAGTTAATCAAGCCTATGCTATGATAGTAAGTGATGAAGGTCAAAAATCAATAGCAGCTACTACAGGGATCTTAGGAGCCAATCCTGCAATTATGACAGGAAATTTTGATGTAGTAATGTATTCAAGAACCACAGGAAATCAAAGGTTCAAGAAAAACTATAACATTCAGTGTGAATTCTGTAAACTCAAAGGACACAGTAAAGAAAATTATTATAAAATAGTGGGATATCCACCTGATTACAAACCAAAGAAGAAAGGGGGAGCAGGAAATAATGCAGCCTACAATGTCATTACAGACAATCCAACACAACAGACATACAATGAGTATGATGCTGCAAGGGTTCACCTGCAGAATCTGACTATGAATACAAATCAAGCTCCTACAACTACTGAGGACCAATGGTTCGTAACAGGTCTAAATTTCAATCAGCTGAATCAGATGGCAGGGTGTGCATTCTCTAGAGAGCAATATGATCAATTTCTTTAACTTCTCAACAGGACAGGGTCTAGTCATACTTTAAGCACAATGTCAACTCCTGCAGCAAGCAGGTATTAGTTGTGCTCTGATGGCCTCTAGTAGTCTACAAGATTGGATAATAGACACAGGAGCCACTAACCACATGGTAGCTGATATGAGTATATGTTAAAAAAGTCAACTATCCTTCAGTCTGAAAACCCAAAGAAGATATTTATGCCAAATGGAAATATTTCATATGTTACACATACTGTTGCTAGCACTCTATCATATGGGAACACAATTACTAATGTGTTTTATGTTCCACAATTTAAGTTTAATCTGTTATCAGTGTCTAAACTAACAAAGGAATTACAATGCTCAACAGCCTTCTTTCCTGGTTTCTATGTATTTCAGGAACTCTTCAGTGGGAAGGTGAGGGCGATAGGTAGAGAGGATGATGGACTTTACATACTTGAAAGACAAGTTGTTGGAACATCTTTAGCAGTAACAGAAGGAATAAAGGACAAGGATCAGACAATTTCAACTACAACAAAGGATATTGACCTATGGCACAGGAGGTTTGGTCATGTTTCAACTACAATTCTTAAGAAGTGATAGGTTTTCAATGTCTTTGCCTTATGTTTTGATGATCTAACAAACTTAATGTCAAGGGCCAAATGGGGAATCTAACTCACTTGGACTACACTGCATTTAACGGATTCCAGCTAAACGTGAACTGCTACAGCTTCAGGAGCTAGGGAACTAAACAAGGAACTGATACCCTTGTGGTTCCTTCATAGCAGTACAAAGTCAATTGGACAGAGCTGGAAATGAAGTGACTGCCTGCACTGTTTCTGCCGCACTGTACTGTTTCCAGCGCCCACTCATTCCCTGACCAACTAAAGTACTTACATCATTTCAAGTGATGTGATCAGGTTGTTCCAACATGAGTTTATATTGAAACATTACTTGAATGTTTCAATTTCTCATTCAAGCCTTTCGAAAAACAGAGAAATCAATCCTCACGAGCTTGAAGAACAAAGTTGAACGCAACTACGGACCAGTTCCTAAAGTTAGCATGTTATTGTCCTTAGTTGAGTTGTAACTTTGTGATTGTACTTATTGTATCTCCTAAATTGCTTACCTAGAAGCGTTGATTAGGAATCCTCTTGTAAAATCCGTAAACTCTTTTGAGTTTATGTTGTGACTAGGTTTAGTCATAAGCAAAAGCCTTTGTAACTGTAGAGTGACAAAGTGTCTTGTGGTGAGAGCATCACAAGTTAGTAAAAGTCTTTGTAACTAAGGAGTCACAAAGTTACTTGTGGTAAGAGTACCACAAGTTAGTTGAGTTAAATTCTTTGTGATGGAGTCATTACAAAGTGGCTTGTAATAGATTTTTACAAGTTAGTGAAGTTGAAAGCCTACTGGTGTAGGTCGTGGTTTTTGGTCCCCTTGTGTGGGATTTTTCCACGTAAAAATCCGGTGTCTCATTTACTTACACCTATTAGCATTCTCAGAAGAATCTCGTAGTGGACCAGGTACTCTACTGTTTGGTGGACTCATACAAACTAACAATTGGTATCAGAGCGGGTTCCTCCTATCAGGCTAACACCTAGGAAGGATCCTCATGGCTGCTCCACCAAATTTTGAAGAAGGTCAATCTACATACCGACCACCCAGGTTCAACGGACAATACTATGGGTGGTGGAAAACAAGAATGCATGATTTTATCACGGTTGAGGATTCTGAGTTATGGGATATTATATGCGATGGTCCTTATGTTCCAACAAAGGTACTTGAAGAACTTCCATTTTCAATGGCAAAAACCAGTAAAGAATACACTGACGCAGACAAGAAAGCTGTGGAGAAGAATTTTCGTGCCAAGAAAATTCTAGTATGTGGAATAGGACCTAAAAAAAACAATAGAATCTCCGTCCGTGACACTGCCAAGGAGATATGGGAATCTTTGCAAATAGCTCATGAGGAAACCACACAGGTAAAACAGTCTAAGCTCGATATGCCCACTACCGAGTATGAACTCTTTAAAATGAAGGACGATGAATCCATTCAAGATATGCACACAAGATTCACTTCCATCATAAATGAGTTACACTCACTTGGTGAAATCATTCCTAGAAACAAGCTAGTGAGGAAAATCCTCAGCATTCTGCCTAGCGCTTGGGAAAGCAAAGTGAATGCTATTACTGAATCAAAGGACTTACAGGAGCTGACCATAGAAGAGATGATTGGAAATTTGAAGACCTACGAGATGAAGAGGAAGATAGACAGTGAAAGAAGAAAACCAAAGAAGGAAAAGAACCTGGTACTTAAAGCTGACAACAATGACTTAAGTGATGAAGACGGTGACATGGCTTACTTAACCAAAAGATTTCAGAAGATGGTCAGAAGAAATGGAGAATTGCTAAAAAGGGACAGCTCTAACAAACCAAAAAACTATGATCTTTGTCATAAGTGTGGGAAGCCTAGACACTTCATAAAAGACTGTCCTCTCTTGAAGCAAGAATTCTCCAAGAACAACCATGAGAAAACAGCTAAGACCAACCAGGTTCCTTTCAAGGATTTCAAGAGAAAAAGATCTGCTGACAAAATGGTGAAACGGGCTCTTGCAACATGGGGGGATTCCTCTAGTGAATCTGAAGATGAACATGATGCTGGTGATAGTTCCATGATGGCGGTTGAAGGCGAGGAAATTGAATATGACTCAACTTTTGCTTTGATGGCCCAATCAGATGATGATGAAGACGATGGCAACAAAGAGGTAAACTTCAGGGATGTTCAGAGAAATCTGAAATCCTATTCTCCAAAAAAAACTCATGTCTTTAGCTAATGTATTAATTGATGCATATCATAGTCTTGTGGAGGATAGGGATTCTTTGACCTTAGAACTAGAAGAATCTGAACAAACCAGAGACGACTTAGTGGCTGTAGTTATTGACCATAAGGAAACCATTAAAAACTTCAGAAAAGAAATAAAATGATTTTTTGGAAGTAAAATACAGACCTAAGGGAAACAATAGTGAGATCAAGGACTAAGTTAAAACCTGAAAATTCTGGAAAGGGAAAGGAGATAGCCAGTGAGGAACACATTAGGCTTTAAAATGAGGTGAAAGCTATGAGAACTAGGATGTGTGTTGAAATTGAGAAAAAACAAGCACCTCCAAACTGATCTGGAAAGAGTAAAGAATGATCTTGAAAAGTCCCTAAAGTGGACCTGGTCCTTAGAAGCTACCACTGCCATGCACACTAATGATGGTGAAAACAGGCAAGGAATAAGGTTCCAAAGGGAGAAAACTCGTCACAACCCTCACAGCAAGTACTTCACTGTCTCTAATAACTGGCCTTGTACCCAATGCGGGAACAATTGGTACTTCAAAGAAAATTGCCAGGCCAGGGATCAATCTGTTCACAAAAACAAAGTGCTTGCTAAAAAGGTGACTACAAAAGAGGGACCAGGTTCCATTCACAAAAGACGCACATTACCAGCATGGACTAAGAGAACTCTTATTCATCCTCTTTCCTACTACAAGGGACCCAAACTTGCTTGGGTTCCTAAAACTAACTCTTAATCTCCTTGTGCAGGGAACAATGAAAGGAAGCGGTCAACAATGGTTCATGGACAGCGGGTGTTCAAAGCACATGACTGGGAACACCATGGACTTTCTTTCACTAAAAGCCCTGCAAAGAGGGAGTGTATCCTTTGGCAATGGGAAAAGGGGGTACATTCTTGGAGTTGGAAAAGTCAGGAAGTCACTCACTCATTCTATTGAAAATGTGTACTATGTAAATGGCCTTAAGTACAGTCTCTTGAGTGTCTCTCAAATCTGTGATAAAGGAAACAAGGTGGAATTCTTGTCCAAAATATATACAGTCACTGATCTGGTAATCGGTGATGTAGTACTTGTGGCCAAAAGATACAAGAACATCTATGTTGCTGATTTCGAGTCCTTACAGAGTGGTGATCTGAGTTGTCTGAAAGCTGTTGATAATGATGCTGAACTATGGCACAGAAGACTGGGCCACGCAAGTTTTACTCTTCTGAACAAACTAATTTAGAAGGACCTGGTCCATGGTCTGCCTATGACAAAATTCAAGATGCAAAAGTTTTGTGATGCATGTGCTAGAGGAAAATATGTGAAGTCCTCCTTTAAGTCTAAAAGAGATGTGAGCACCTCAAAGCCACTAGAGCTTCTGCATATGGACCTATGTGGCCCTATGAGAGTGCAAAGCAGAGGAGGAATGATACATTTTTGTGATAGTGGATGACTACTCCAGATTCACATGGAATCTATTTCTCCGAACTAAAGATGAAACCGTTGAGGTGTTTGTGGCTTTTGTAAAGAAAATCTAGGTGAAGATGAAGTCTAGAGTCGCATGCATTAGATCAGATCATGGGACAAAATTTGACAATGTCAAATTTGATGAGTTCTGCAATGAAAATGGCATCACTCACAACTTCTCATCTCCCAGAACTCCCCAGCAAAATGGAGTAGTAGAAAGGAAGAATAGAACTCTGGAAGAGATGGCAAGAACAATGCTAATCGACAATGGAATTGCAAAGAACTTCTGGGCTGAAGCTGTCAACACTGCCTGCTACTTGGTGAACAGGTGCATGATCAGATCACTTCTGAACAAAACCTCCTATGAATTGTTGAATGGAAGGAAACCCAAGCTGACTCACCTAAGAACATTTGGGTGCAAATGCTATGTTCTCAATAATGGAAAGGATCAGCTTGGTAAATTCGATGCCAAGAGTGATGAAGGAATATCTCTGGGCTACTCTTCTCAAAGCAAGGCTTACAATATATATAATAAGCGGACTCAATGTATGGAGGAAAGTGTTCATGTTATTTTTGATGTGTCTTATCCATCACGTGAGAAGAGTACTGAAGAAGATCAAGATGGAGAACCCTTACCAGTACCTGGTGAAGTCATTTACATAATAAACGGAAAGGCAGATATGATGAGTCAAGTAAAAGAGCTGAGTGAAGACAATACTTCCTCATCTTCAATGGAACCAAGTACTTCAATTACAACCACTGAAGCTAAAGAAAGAGTGGTTGATGCAGTTTAGGGAACTCCACCAGCACCTGAGAGAAGAACGGAGGAAAACCAGCCAAACACACCCACATCCTCTCAAAATGAACCTCAGACGTCTAACTGGAGACACCAAAGCTCTCATTTGATAGATAACATTATTACTCCTCTAGATTCCGGAGTACAAACCAGGTAAAGAGCTAGAAATTCACTTGCCTTCTCAGCTTTTCTATCTCAGATAGAACCCAAGAATATCAAGGAAGCCTTGAAAGATGCAGATTGGATTGTAGCCATGCAAGACGAGCTACATCAATTTGAAAGAAACAATGTTTGGCACCTGGTACCTAGACCCTCAGATCGAACCATTATAGGAACTAGGTGGGATTTCAGAAACAAGCTCGATGAACATGGAATTACCACAAGGAACAAGGCCAGGCTAGTAGTTCAAGGCTACAATCAGGAGGAAGGGATAGACTATGATGAAACGTTTGCTCCGGTGGCTCGCATGGAAGCTATTAGAATTTTAATCGCTTTTGCATCTCATATGGAATTCACCTTGT